AACACTCACTCTTAGCAGGCACCTAAAATACTCACCTCAGTAAAATTTACCATTGTGCTACAGAAGATTTTTTTCAGTGCTGAAAACAGCATGTGATATTTGCAACAGTGATATTGAATTGAGGGGCTCCTTCTTTTGTTTCAAATTATGTCTTAAATTATGATGATGATGATGATTATGTGCAGTGTTATAAAAAATGCAATTATTCTGTCATGTCTATCAAAAAGAATACATAGGAAACAAAGGAAATGCTAAGCTGAAGCTGGCTTGTGATCCTGTATTACACCTTTGTACTGTACAGCTGATGTATCTGTCTCATCAGAAAGTTTCAGCACGTTGCCTTGAACTTGTGCACCGTGGTTACAGTGACAGAAAAAACAGCAAACATAAAATCTGATAGGACTGCAGCCTATCCCTGTTGCCATTACTGTTGCTTCAAGAGCTCTAAACAGCTTTCAATTCCAGCTTTTGATTATTCTCCACAAATTTAATGCAGCACAGTACACAAACGGCTGGTTTCAAACAAATCATCTGAACATACAGTTTGACAAGCACGTCATGTTTGTCTTACTTACAGCTCTGAAACAACTACTAACATTCTCAGTATTTTCAAGTATGTGAATTTTAAAACCCAAACTACAAATGCTTTATCTTTGCCAATTCAGGCATGAGCTGCTTGTTTCTGCATGCGTGCTGATATATCTGTAAAGGATCATGGGGCTTTTGGCACTCTCAGGCATTTTCTTTATACATTTTTCAGGCAGGGCTGAAGAGGCTGCTCCTCAAAGTCGTCACCATTAGTGTGTCCCGTGTCCCCCATTGACTTCATTAGGAGCTGTGAGCACAGAGGATTTCTGAGTGTGCTAAAAATGTCAAACGGGGCATTGAGCAGAGAGGAAACCAGACCAGTAAAGAAAGCTCCCTGGAACAATCAGGCTTGATATTAAAACCCTGGTGTACTGTGTGTAGTGTCTAACTTGTTTATGGGTAAAACGTGTAAGTTTTATAAAGCATATGTATTTCTTCTAGACCAGTTTTCAGAAACAGCAAAAATCTTGCTTTTCAGTGCAACTCTAAAAATTTCCAGGAAAGGATTGGGTACCTTTGTTGACATATTCACAACATCCTTAAAGTAGGTGTTATCAATTCAGTAATGATATTCATACAATGAAGACCCAAGAGCATCTGGTATTAAAATCTTTGCCAAAATCTGAAAGCAGCACCTCTGTTTGCAAGAGCCCCAGAGCATACAACTGCAAATCAAAACCTTCCTACTCTTCCATGCATAGTTTAATTGTGGTCTTAAAATATTTTTGAAAGTGGGTCCTTTGTGCTTTGCTGCAGTCACACCAAGAAAATATTCATTGTCTCTTTGAAGGCTTTCAGGCACACCATGTGCACATCCCAGCTTCAGAAAGTGGAAAGTGGCATTCAAGGGAGATAAATCAGTAGCTCAGGAGAAACAAAGAGAGAAAGCAGAGAGTTTTCTAGATGAATGCTCCAACAGGGCTCTGCCTGCTGCAGTTACCCACCTCTATAGGTCAGGTTTTATGCTACTACCTGTCTCTTTTATGCTTGCCCTGTAAAATCAGCGTCAGTCACAAGGGATTCATGAAGTCTTTGACTCTTCTCCTTTTAAAAGGTCAGGGCTCTGCTTTTTAATTGGAAAAGCAAAAGGTGAATGAGCCTGACCATGAACACTGCAGTCCTCATTGTGTGCCTTAAGAAGCTCAAAGCCTGCCAAAATATGTCAAGGCTTTTTGGAGGTGCTCAAGGGGGAGGTGGTGGTGATCGTGGCATTACAAATTTATGCAGTTTCTTGGGAAAAGGAGACATTGAGCATAAGCAATGCAGTGAAATCACAGGGCTTGACAATTACAGTACCTGGAGCTGGAAGTGCAGAGCAGCCACTACTGTGAATTCAAGCAGATGACACCACTGTCACCCAAATATATGCTTAATTGCTCTTTTGATAAATATTTCTTTTCCCCTAATCAGAATTTTGCCTTGTAATTCCCCTGTGATGGAAAAAGAAACCCTAAAAAGGGTTAGAAGCTGTAGGACTTTATGTTTGTTTTGGTTTGTTTTATTTCCCCAGGGAAGTGGAGGGAGAGGGCAAAGAAGACAGACTGAACATGTCTTGATTTTGGAAAACTGGACTACTTTTCTCTTTTTGATTTCTAAGGGCAATATAAACGCTACCAGCAGTATAAAACATATACACTCCTGGTAGAAATTTCTATTGGAAATTGGAATTGGAATTCTATTGGAAATGAAAAATATTTTGTTTAGCTGTGATACTTATTGCAGTATATCTAATGGTTGACCAGCTTTATTTGCCATGATTCAAAGATCACTTCATTACTTCTCATAAATTCACCTTTTGTCTGATCTTCATATGTCTATATATTCTTATAGTGATCTTCAGCATGGATTCTGAGCCATAATGTAAACTGCTGAATAACTTTGTTATTCCTAATAATTTCCATTATTTATTTAGAATGAAGTATTTTTAAAAGCAGAGATATACTTATTCTTTTTTTTCTTCTTACAGAGTGAAAACAGCAACTGCACACTTCCCTTAGTTTTTACCAGGGCTGCCCTGCACTTGCATGTTTGTCACCTGTTCCATCTCTGCCCAAGATGTTCAGACTGGAATTTGGACAGGTTATGTCCATTGGCTTCTTTGCCAAAGCCAGGCTTAGCATTCTCCACCAAATAGAGATCTGCATCTCTCACACCTTCTTTTCCTGCTCCTCCAGTCTCTCCACTAAAGTGCTCTGCTTTGGCAAACTTTGCCTGTCAAAGCACTTCCCTAGTTTATATCCACATTTCTTCAAACTGTCATTGCTATCTCAGTGTGGGATACTTTCCTGGTATAAAAACTGTCTCCAAGTTATTGTGTGACATGCTCTTTGCCATATCTGCTATTTCTTACATAATTATTTGAACTGACTATTAAGAAGTATTAGAACCAAGGCTTAATTCTACTATTTTTCAGCCACCTTTCTTGCTGTATCAGTTCATACTAATCATAACATTTTCATTTAAATTTTATCTGGATTTACCCAAGATGCTATTTCAAATTTCCTTTATAGAATAAGCATTAAGGATCTATGTTCTGAGCCTGCAGAACACTCACCATTAATTTTTGGCTTTTTGCTTTTACCCTTTTGTTTATCATACATACGTTTCAATGCAACATACCATGGAGACATGTATGGCCCATAATTTTAGAAGTAATTTGGTTTGTTTCTTACTGAAGTATCTTTTCCTCCACAGATTGCAGAGCTTCACAACTAGAAAAGCTTTAATTTCTTTCTGTTTTCATTTTCTATATTTTATTTCATTAATGAAATTTCTTTCAAAGGGCATAAATTACTATCAATATACAGAAAATCTCAGCTGATAGTGTACAACTGAAAGACCTTGTCACATACCTACATCCTGATCTAAACTGATGGTGGACTAATTCTAGTATTCTCTGTCTTATTCAGCATTGCAACACTCTTCCTGACCCTTTCTCTAATGCCTTAGTGTTTCACCTGCACTGAATGACTTCTGAGTGTAAGGGTGGTATATCCCCATTTCCTCTGATAGTTATATTAAAGAGATTCTGCTTTTATTGCCTATTCCCATCACAGGAATCATAGCACTCCTTACCTCTTGCTATGTCCATTCCATTTTCATTTAACTCAAGGTGCTTATTATTTCCCATTTTTCAGCTCACTGTTAAGGTATTTGTTAGCAGGAGCACCTAACTTGGTTCACCTGAGTTCATGAGAGAAGAAAAAATACATTCTCTGCCACAAGGACTTTCCCTGAGAAGAGTGTTGTGTATTTCTGGATCGTCTGTAACCTTCTTGCGTGTTTTCATTTTCTGGTCTATAACAGGAAGATAACAATGCTCACCCAGAGCTTAATTAAATACTGTCAGAAATGTATTCAAGGGATTTGGGGAAAACCTGACTTAGGACCCTTCTTCCCCTTGTGGTTTTTTTTTGCCAGGTACCTGAGTTCCTTATGTAAGCTGATTTCATGCTGGACCTAAAGGGTTTTCTCTAGCATTCCTTCTCCTACTGAAGTACGGCATAAGTGTCATCTTCGTTCTTCTGATGCAACAGTACAGTGTCACCAAAACTTCCAAGAATTTTGCCAACAGTAGGGTAATAAAGTTTCCTCATTAAAATGAGGTCCTATGAATATAAACTCCCCCAGCTCTCCCAGGGGAACCTTTACTCTCTCTCTGACAGATCATGCCATCAGATCTCTCCCTTTTCACCCTATTTGATGAAACATTGTCACCTAGTTTGTTACCATCACAATTTCATGTGCATTACAGGCAGTTTGCTCCAAGCCTGGTGGCCTGTGGGACAACCCACAAGCTTGTGGGACTGAGAGCATCCTGAACAAAGGCACGTTGTGGATGGCAGCACTCGGTGTTACCTTTCCCAATGACAGGGTCACTGGAGATGCTGCTGAGCACACCATGGGCACACCAGGGAAGCAGAAGAACACAGGCAGAAAGCAAGAGTGTTATCCAGTGCAAAAAGGCAATACACACCATCCTGAGCCAAGTCACCTGGCATTTCTCCATGGCACCTTGCTTATCCTCACCATGTGCCTGCCTGCTTTCTCTTCATGGTTTTTTGTCTGTGGGAAGCGTGGGCTCTGCAAGGCAAAACCTGCTCCTCTTTGCTTTGCAAGGGACCCCACACCCCTTATTGCACCCCTTTATCTTAAGGTGAAGGAGCCCAAAGTCTCACTCACGTAAGCACATGGTAACACTAGAACATATTTTGTTGTGGGGATACCCCGTATTGTGGGGGGGACTGTCGGCAATCAGCTGAGCAGCCCTGTCAGCCCCGCTGCCCCGGCCCACTGCCCCAGCCTGGGGCCAGCCCCGCTCCCCCGGCCCGCTGCCCCGGCCCATTGCTCCGGCCGGCCCCAGCCAGCCCCAGCCCCGCTCTCCCGGCCCCGCTGCCCCGGCCCGCACTCACAGCACGCAGAGGCAGTAGACCCCCGGGATGCTCTCGCTGTCCCGCAGCAGGTAGCTGCCGTCCGTGCCCGCCGCCAGCAGCAGCTTCTCCCCAGCCTCTCGGGTGATGGCCCCGTGGTAGACGGGCACTGTGTCCATGCCAGGGCCTGTCCCGCTGCCGCCGCTCTCCCGTGCCTGGCGCTTCCCCCTGTGCCTCAGCCGTGGGCTCCCTCAGCCTCCCGTCTGGGTGGCAGATGTAAACAGGATGTGTTCACACCTCTGAAGTGAGACAGCACTGAGGGAAGAGTGAGGAACGACCACAGAATTTTTGTGAGGTTTTTTTTTTTTTCCTATGGCCCTTTCTGTCTTTCTTTTACGTAGGCTATAACATCCTCGCACCCTCACAGCCCTCCTGCAGAGGTGTCATTGCACATCCACTCTGGCCATGTGGCTGCTGCTCGGCAGGATGGGCCTGGTGAGGCACACGATGGCCAGGGGCCACTGGCTGGGACAGGGCGGGCAGGACCAGGGCTCTGCTGTCAGCTGCTGTGCCAGGCACGTCCCTCTGCTGCTGTTAACCAAAGGCGATTATTACTCCAAGGGAATTTTTTTTTCTTTAACCTCTTGTTTTTAAAATCCCCAGGGATGAGACTAGAGGAGGTCAGCTGACCTCAGTGTCACTGTCCCACCAGAGCACACACCTCAGGCTGCGGGTGCAAGCACAGCCCCTGCTCCACACCAGCTGCTCCAGTGCCCCACACACCAGCCCCAGCTCATTCACCTCACCAGGGGCTGTTCTCAAAGCCTTTGCTGCTGTTTAATCACTGCTAATGTCGGGGTGGTCATTACTCCTACTTGGAGGCAGGCAACAGCCTTGGCACACAAAAGGCTCACATCTTCCTGGATGCCAATTCTGCCTTCATGTGGGGCATGAGCTGGCATCCAAAATCCTGAGCCATGTCTGAAAGAGCCATTTCTCTTTACCTGCTGTGGCTGAAGACAATTCCTCAGTGTACTTGTCAACTGAATGCTCCCACATGCACATGCACAGCTGTTTGCAAACAAACCGTCAATGTGCCCCACAGATATTTCCACCCATGGAAAAAGTGAGCATGTTTCCCTGTAGTTATGGCCACCATGGGGCTGCAGCAAGCTCAGGGCTAAATTCATCCCTGGCATGAGGCTGCCACCCTCTCTCCAAGATCCACCTTCCCACACCTGTGTGCATGAGCAAGAAGTCAGTAAAATATAGCATAAGTATGGGTTGTGGTTATGATTGATTGCTTTTAAATTGAGTTTACTAGCAGGACAGGACAGAATTAAATAATCTCATCCAGCTGCTCACAGATGCTGTGTCCTTGTTGAAGCTAAGGATAGGTGAAAAAATAGCTTTTAAGATACACACAGTTCAGGAACAGAAATGAAATTTAAAAATAGCAAAAATAATGGCTGCTCTTTTTAACTCAATCAATCAAAGGGTTTTTTCTCAACCATTTCACAGTGCATGTCTTTACTTTTTGATCTTCAATATAGTTTTACCTTGGAAATATTTTTTTCAAGCTTTAGTTTTTCCTTTTGAGGGATGGGCATTTCTGATGTGAGAGTCACAGGGTACCTCATGCATGGGGCACTGCACAAAGTCACTGGTGGCAAAGCTGCAGTGTTTGGAGACCAAGAGCCTCTTTCCCCACAGGGAGAGCCTGGCAAGTGACTGCCTCCGTGGCTGGCACTGAGAGGCTGAGAAAGCTGCAGAAACCCCTGCTGAAGAGAGACCAAAAACTCCCACCACTGAGTTTATGGCCTTTCTATCTCATTATGCAGGTATTCATTACCCCCTTTACGTGAACCTGGGGACTCAGGCATCCTGCTTGGTTTTTAAACCAGTTGTTAAAGTATTTGCACATAAAGTAGTTGCTGCCTACTGCAAATCTGATTAATGTGGACGGCAACAAGCTGTAAAGCTGCTGCCTATTTCTTCTCATTTTCCAAACTACCTGTGCTCTTGGGGATTTCATCCAACTTTCCCATTTCTTAACCTATTCTCAATATTAATAGCTGATTTCAGAAAAAGTATGTGTGTAATTAGCTGGAGAGGAAAACCAGCCAGAATCATTTAATTCTGCAGATTTCATTGTCTCATCAGATTTCAACTAAAGAAAATCATAAAACTTTTCACTGTGAGATCCTGTCCTAATGTGGAGTCACCACCTTACCCAGCCAACCTGCATTCTCCAGCACTTGGATGAAGAAGCATCTATTACTGTAAAACAGCTGTAAACACACAACTTTGCTAGTCTGGTTAAGAAATCTATAAAGTCCAGCTGCTGAATCTCAACCCCAGGCTTCCATACAAATCCCTTTACTGCCCCACTGACTAGGGGAATTGCAGCTTTTAAGAAATCATGGAAATGCTGTGTTTGGGAACAAGGGACAGTAACACTGAGGCACCTGCCAGGGATGGAAATGGTTCATGCCTTAAACATTGTTATGAAGGGGTTTTGCCCATTATAGCAAAAACTGTATAAAGAAGCCACAAGCACAGAAGCCCACCCCTCCCTGAAGATACCTGACTGGAGCTTTGGACCTTGAGTTAAGACACATAGGTAAGATAAAGGGGACACTATTGGTCAGTAATCTCAGGCTGAGAGAGAAGAATGCATCCACAAGAAATCCAAGCCCAGCAGCTGTGCTGAGAATCACCTCTGGCCGCGTTTGGGGTGGGGGAGACCACAGCCCACAGAGGCCAGGTTTACACAGACCCTTCCACAACTGAGGGTGGGGGAAGGAGGTTTTTAGTGCGTGGCATAACCTCTGGTCAGAGGCACTGAACATCCATCCTCCCTTACACAAATAGGCCCAGCTGTGAAATCCCCAACCCCACAGGCCACATGCATGGGACATCCACGTGGGAGGCAGCTGAGGGGGTGTCATAATCCATCAAAGACCCCTCAAAGTGCTCCCCAGACTCATTCCTGAGGCTTTGCACCACAGCATTGCAGGTGACACCAAGTGATGTGACAGACCCAGAGTCTGTTGCAAGACTGCCCCCCACCCTGGGGGGAGGTACCTGGGCATTCCCACCTGGCCTGAGCATATATTATTCCATAGGATACTCTGCTTTTCAGGGGATCCTCACCACCAAGAAGGCCACCTGGAGAGGATCAACAGAACATCATTGGGATCCATGGAGTTTTTGGATCATGGAGTCTTTGGATATTGTCTTTATTCTGTCTCTGTCACTGTCTTTCTCTCGTTCCCTCCCCCTCTTTTCTATTTCTTTCTCTTCCTTTCACTCTCTCTCTCTCTCTTCCTCTCATATTTACTATTAAATAAAATCCATACTGTTGACTTTGGCATATGGTCTCATTTGCACCTTAATTCAGGCAGAGGCTTTTCTAATAACTGAAAAACCAGACCATAACAGCACCAACCAGGATAAACTAAACAAAGGATATAGGGGCTTCTTGGGCAGAAAAAAGATAAATCATCACATGCTAACACAGCTCTGTATCACACTAGTGAGGCTGGAGGAATACCCCCAAACAAGATATTTTCACTGCAGTTTGGCATCCAGTCAGACTCACACTGACTGCTCCAGGTTTCATCCATTTATTCTTGTGGATCTAAAGCATTGATTGCCATCCTATTTCACACTGCTGCATCTGTGCCATGGGGCTGAGAATGCAAAATAGAGCAGCAGGTTGGGAGCATAAGGAAATGAGAGAGAATTGTGGGTCAAAGGGATGCTGCTCCTGTTGGGATTATGACCCCATCACCTTCCACAGAAAATGGTGATTTGTTTAAGCACCCAAGCGCTGCCCTGTAAGACACTGCACACTTGTTTTGTTTGGAGAGTATTCAGCATATTTTGGACACCACTGTTTTGTGCCTTTCCTAAATCAGTCCAGCTAGCAATCCCTGCAATAAGCTATAAAAAATTTATCTAAAAAATAGTACATGAAGGAAAAGTAGTTATAAGTGCTCTGAAATATTTGGTCATGAAAAACAGGCTCCGACAGATAGGACTGCTTAGACCTCTTGGGTCATCAAGTCTACTTCTCTGCTATCTTAGCCAAACACATCATGTAATACCCTTCAGAAACTCATTTAAGTCCATCTTAAAAGTAGCTTGGGATTTGTTGTTGTTTCCACTGCTCTCACTGGAAAGCAATTGCAGAACATTGCTGTTCTGTTGTTTGGAAACCTGGTTCCAGTTCCTATCCTAAATTTATTCATGACCAATTTATGCTCATTTGTTCTTGTGCCAATGTTGTCCTTCAGTTTAAATAGATGTTTTCTCTTCCTAGAGCTTATGCCCATGTGGTATTTATAGAGGCCTCCCTCAGCGTTCATTTTGCCAAATTCCTCTGCACTGCAGGCTCTCCTTTCCATGGTCACCCTAATCATCTTTTTCCATAGTTTCCAAAAACTGAAGCACAATTATTCACAATAATAATTTGTGAATACTGTGCACCATCCTGGCTGATTTCTAACACTTGCCTCATACACCATTACAGGTGTTTCATTACCCTGGTGAAAATAGCCAGATTTGTATGGCCTGTGCATTCCCTTCCTCAGTAGTTTCTTACCTATGAGCATGCAGGTATAGTATAAACCTGATTAACAAAACCCAGATGCATGAACTGGCACTCAAATCCTTCTGAATTTTGTCTAATTTATCCTACTCTCAAGGTCATTCAGCTCTTCCTAAATGAGAGTGTTATTCGTCTTTGCAGTGACAGTGCCTGCCTCCCGTATGCCACTGGTAACTTCCATTAGCACACACTTATTTTTTATGGGATCATCATTAATTAAAAATGTTAAATATTACTAGGCCCAAGACTGATGTTTGAGAAGCCTCACTACTTTCTCTCAGTACTGATCTCCTCCTACCCTCACATTCTTACTCACTTTTTCATTTCTGTCTTTATCTCCCCTTTTTAGGTAATAATTTCCCACATGGCGCTGTACCAAATGCCGTACTTAAGTTTAGATAATTAGCTGTAAGCACTTCCTTTGTCTAGAAAAATCAATTATGATGATATTTCAGGTGCCGGAACTTGTAGAAGTACCTGAGAAGTGGCAGAAGGGAGAAAGAAAATGAAATTACCTGAAGTTTTTTTAACACCTTTTGAAAGATTTAGGCTGATTTTAATTTTCAAAGGAGCTGCTTCATTCATCCCTAGCAATGACATTTTCATACATTGTTGAATTTTATAACAATTCTGAATATTATAACACTAACGCAAGAGCATCATTAAAATTCTTGGTTATTGTTATTTGACTGAAAATAAG